CTGGGTCGGGCTTTGCTGCTGCTCCCAGGGGTGCTCATCTCCCCCGGGGCCCCATCCAGCCCTGGCGCTGGGGCAGGGGCTGCGGCCCTGCCTTTCAGTGGTCCGGGTGGTCAGTCTGGAGGGGGCCAGGGTAGGGGGGGTGTCACTCTGGGAATGCTGACAGCCCCCGGCTCGGGTGGCAGGACAGGGAGGGTGAAGTCACGGCCCGTGTCAGCTCATCCATCGCCGCTGGTCCCGGGGGAAGCGCAGGCTTTGGCAGCTCTAAGTGGGGTTGGAGGCGGATGCAGTTCTGGAGAACAAGATTCCCTTGCAAAACCTGTAAAAAAAAGAAGAAAAAAAAAAAATTAAAGTTGTTGGCTGAGAAGCTTGTTTAAAGATCATATCTCTGGCAGAGGAAATAAGGTCTTAATTCCCTCCCTTGCCGCTTGCCTCCCCGCGTGTCTTCGCAAGTGCTGGGTCCCCAGAGGCGCGCAGGCCGTCAGCTCTGCCGGGAAAGGCGCTGGGGAAGAGAAGTGGCTTCTGTTTGTGGAACTGGGACTGACCTGAAGTGGCTCTGGGCGAAGCTGCTGCCTCTGCCACGTGCGGCCCCGGCTGTGGGGGAGAGGCAGGTGTGGAGTGTGCGTGGGGCGTGGGCCCCCTGCGCGGCTCCACCCATGGGTGTTTGAGGCAGATGGTAGATGGCAAAAAATCTATTTTTGGCTTTCTGACTTGGCAGTCTGTCTTTTCTGAAGCCTCGGTTGGAATCAGTTGGTTTGGGTGGTGGTGCTCGCCCTGCTCCATCCCCCGGGTCCCCCAGGCGGGACTGGGGGGGTTTCTGGGGGAGGAAGGATGGGGTGGCCGTGTCCATCCCACGCCCGTGGGGGCTGCACTGCTCCTGCTGCTGGAGAGCTGTAGGGATAAAAGATATTTAGTAAGTGCCAACTCGGTGCCATCCACGGCCTTACCCGCTGTGCGGCAGAGATTCAGGGCTGGGCTGTCCCTGGGCCGAGGACGCCCGTGACTGTCCTGCAGCCGAACGGGGGGGACGGAGGAGGATGAGGAGGGTCCACCCTCCCGCCTGGCAGAGCCCCCGCTCGCCAGCGTGCCGGCTTTTCGTGGCCTCGCGTTTCATCGTCACCTCCACCCACACGAAGAGCCTTGTCTGAGTCATCTCCCAGCGAGATGGAGTGTGTGGGCTCAGCGCAGCTTTAGCTCTTCATCCTCTGCTCTGCCAGAGCCTGACACGGGGTAAAGCTGGAGCCTTCATCACTGCGCGGATGAAGCAGCTGAATGTCCTGTACCCGCAGGACGGGCCCAGCTCTGCGCCCTCCAGCTCCAGCAGCCGGTGCCTCGCCGTGGCCCAGGACAGCGTAAGCGGCGGCTGCTTGAGGAGCTCGAGAGATCGTAAAAGAAATACGGACTGAACGTTTTGCACTGAATTAGCGCTTTAGCTGTAAAACGCAGTGCCAGAGTGGAGAGGAGGTGCTCGAAAACGTTCCTACCGTGTGGCAAAGCGAGGGAGAGCGAAGCCGACAGCAAAGCAGCGTCTCACCTCTGAGGTTAAATCCATCCGGGGGGGGGAGGTTGGCGTTTGCCCAACGAGGGCTCGGCTCTGCCACTGGCCTGGTGGTCGTGGTGGTTTATCCCCCCCCCTCGTCCTGCTGCCTGGCCGTGGCTCTGCCACGTGCAGCCCTGCCCCAGCACGCGCCCTCCCGGTCCCCGCGGAGCGGCAGAGCCGGGGATGGTGGTGCCTGGGTACCTTTATACCAGCTATCAAGTACCTGAAGCGTCTCCGGGGAGTTCAGCAGCCCTCTTTGCGTATGAAATAGCAGGTCTTCAGGGAGCAAATCCGCAGGGAAACATTTCTCCTGGTGACTGACACCAACCTCTCTGCTCACGTTAAAAGCTTTTTGGCTGCTGGCAGGGCCGTGGGGTCACCTGTCCCTCGCCCGCAGTGGGGCGGCACGTGTGTGAGGTGACCCGGGCTCCCCACCCCAAGCTCCTGCTGAATTTTCATCTCCGTCACATCTGCAGGGGCCAAGCTAAGGAGAGCTGGGGGCTGTGGGCGCTCACGCGGCTCATTCTGCGGCCAGAGACGTGCGTGGTGCCACGAACCTGGGGGCTGGCAAAATGATCCTTGGCACCGGCATGGCTTAAAAGAGCGAGAAACGATTGAGAGCAAAAGGAGCTGCTTTGGAGGTGCAGCAGCATTTGTGTGGGGTAATTTTGGGGTGACTGCAGGTCAGGGTGGGGGGAAGCAGTGTGGCACCGCTGCTCTCTGCAGCTGCACTTGTCACCAGGACGTGTCACCAGTCCCAGCTCGTCCCACACCTGCTGCTGGTGCAATCAGAGCCCACCCGGCCCCTTCCCTGCCTGCAGGCGGGATGCTCTGGGCAGGACTGGGGGGATGTTTGAGCACCCAAGGTTGCCCTCGTGGTGGGTGCCAGGCAGTCAATGCCCCTTGGCCCCGTGACAACCCATCTGGGGGCAATGTGGCTTCCCCCCCACCCCGACTTTGCCTGCTGGCAGTGAGCAGGGCAGCTCTGGCCCCTCAGCATCGCTCCGGCCGGGGCTGACCAGCCCCACTGGGCTGAAAACCATCCCTTTTAGGTCCCTGTCGGCAACGATTAGGGAGCACAATGCCGATGCCCGTGCGTGGGGAGCCTGTAGCCACGCGGCCAGCGGCGCTGGGGCTGCCAGAGGGGGAGCGGGCGGGGAGGACTGGCCGCCGAGCACGTCGCTGCGGCTGTCCCGGGTCACACGAGGCTGCGGGGCTGTTATGCAAGGGCTGGCGAGCGGCGGGGCACAGCCCCGCGGGCCGTGACACCCCGTGTCCCTCGCTGGCTCCAAAATCTTCCCATCGCCGCAGGCTGTGGCTCAGCCTCGCTGTGCTTTACCCATCGTGGGGGTTAGCCGTGGCACAGGGGGTGGGGGCCGGCTGGAAACGGGGCTACGGGAGCGCCCAGCTGCTGGGTTTTGGTTTGTGGATTTGGGGCAGAGGATCTGTGCAAAGGGAGAAAATATTTGTGGCTGCTAAAGCGGCGATTCAACAGGGCAGTCTCCTTGCTGGGTTTGCAGCCACCTCCGGAGCGAGAGGCCGGGGCTGCCCTGGTGCCTGGAGCAAGAACGGGGCTAATCCTAATCCAGGATGAGGATAAACGGCTGCGGGTGCCGCGTGCCAGGGAGCCACGTTCTGCCTGGCACAGGCCCCCGTGCCTTGGTTTAGTGCCCTAAGCCCCTGGGGTCAGGCTGGCTAGCCCTAAATCCCAGCTTAGCTGGACCTGGCCTCTGGGACAGGGCCGGTACCCCCTGGTCTGCCCCTGGCTGCACAGGGACTCCCCTCCCTTTACAACCCCACTGCGGGCAGCACGGCCGAGGACAAACACACGAAGCTGGTGTTTCAAGTTGTGTGTGGCTTTTCAACCCCATCAAACAGCTTTATTCACACAAACGTCTCTTAATTTACAAAGCCTCTGCCACTCATACACATCAGGGTATCCACAGTGTTCAAAGAACTTAAATAGAACTTCTCATACCAACCCGAGTAAACCAAGTACAAAAAATATTTATATAAAGTTGTTCACACATAGGTCCTAAATTACCAGCTTCTGTGCAAAAAAAAAAAAAAAAAAAAAAAAAAAAAAAAAGAGAAAAAAATACTTTTATTTACTAGTATCATTATCTTTAGTTTGGAGTCTGGGTTTAAGCCTTCTGCTCTTGCTGGCTCAGCACAGGGGCTGCAGGGAGCAGGGGGGGAGCCTGGGGCAGCGGTACCCCTGGTCTGGGGGGTCACCCCCTGCTGCCGGGGGCATCAGGGAAGGAACTCACCTCTGCAGAGCTGCTGCCATGTGCTGGATGAGTGAGCTGAAGGCCCGGGGTGGGCTGGGCAGGGGCCAAAACAGGGACACGGAGCAGTCCCGTGTGACCCCCCCACCCCTCCACGCGGGCTGACTGCAGAGAATTTGTCAGGGCACAGCTGGAAGCAAGCAGCTCCCTGGGCTTCCCTTCCAGCTGCACCCACCCGCTGCTCTGAGGGATGGGAGGGAGGGGCCGATCACCAGCGCAGCTCTCCCCGCTGCTGAGCCCCGGCGGAGGGGACAGGAGGCTGCGAGGAGCCGGGGCAAAGCCCCCAGCTGGCTCCTGCGGCCTGGCCGAAAGGGCACCCGGAGCCCCCCAGCCCCGCGCAGCCGTAGCGCGAGGCCTGGGCTACCGAAGGGAAGCAGCAACGTGTTTCCCTGCTCTCATGACCTGCAGAAAGCACAGGGAAACCCGTCCTGGTTTGTGCCCTGGAGCAGCTGCCCCGTGGATGCTTGGCAGGCTTAAACCCAGACTCGGTACTGCATATGGAGGAGACACAACGCACACAACGGAGGATTTCCACAACGATGGTGATGCTTGTTTTTAAGTCTTATTGCTCCAGAAAGGCTCCAGGAGCCTCCGATATGTGAAGGAGCTGGGTCCTGAGGAGTAAAGGAAGACCACAGGGGTAACTCTTATCTGTCACTAGCACTGCTGAACCTCAAAGACAGCAGCAAGGGGACAAGGGGGGGCTAATCTAACCCCTCTAGGCTAGAGCCACCGCTGCTCTCTCCTCCCCAGGGACCAAAGCTGGCCGGGAGATCCCCACGACACGCGCGTGACGCCGGCCTTGCTGCAGGCTGGTGCAGATAACGCGTTTCCCAATCCTCCTGAGGCTTGGCTTGTTCCCCCCCCCC